AAATTTAGAATGGAGGTGGGGCTAAGGTCAGAATAGAACCCTATTTCTTTTGGAGATGATCGCCAAATGTTTAGGGGTTGAAATGGACCAAATATTGAAAAAATTGATGTTAACATCCAACAAATCGGATATATAGCAAAATATGTGCGATATATATGTTTATCAAAGAAGATATGCTTGAAAGTTCTCTTATTTGTCGAGAAGGGCTGAACTGATTTCGACAGTTCTCATTAATTCAGAATGGCCTCTTGGCAGGAAAGGAAAAACGTCTAAAAAGCGCATACAAATATCTCTCTAAAGATGAAAATATTGATTTTGTAATATTTTCTCATATTATTTCCATTTTGTCATATTTTTGGCATATTTGCATTTTGAATTAAACATTTGGTAATATATCTACAGCTAACAAAACTAAGTAGTTTTAAGGATATCAGGATATCATATACAGATCGCATTTATAGCCCGATCCTTACGAAATTTTGCATGGGAATAAGATGAGGGTCAGAATAGAAGCCTACTCTTTTTGGAGATGATCGCCATATATTTAGGGGTTGAAATGGACCAAAAAACTGCAAAATTATCAGCAGGTCGTAATTATCGCCCGATCCTCACGCACATTTGGCAAAAGCCAAGCAGTTTTGGATGGCCATCCAAAAATATTCAATGTGCGAAATAGTTCGCCAACTTTTGTAGACTAAATACGAAAATGTCCACTCCAGTGACTTTTTGGAGAATTCACAAATACAGGAAAGACGCATTTCTGACTATTTCGTTACGCTGATTTCGTGGAAGAATATAGTCAAATGTCCGTATCTCATATAGATGCGTTACAGTCAAAAACCAATAATAAATGTTAATCTTTTGCCACTTCTGAGAGATTATAGGTCTTTGGGAAATATTGGTTCCAGATCTAGGAAGACCATTTAAGTGCAACATCTACCAATAAATTGGAAATGAGCAAATTAGTTTAAGTTCCTATTATTCGAAAATTAGAGAACGAAACCTGATGGTTTTCTTTTATTATTTGTCACCATATCTTGTGGAATTCTTTCGAGTATCTCGCCTATATAAACTGTATCGTTTATTATAGTGTTGTAGGGTATTCAACGGTCGGCCCCGCTCGACTGTAGCCTTTGCTTACTTGTTTTTCTATTGCGAATAATATTTTTCATTTGCATAAATTTTCCAATCGTAATGATATCAATCGTTCTGAAATGTGGCAAAAGCGTTGATATCCACCGTGGATGAGATTTTTATTGGTGGAGTGAGATAAACCTCAAGGTAAGAAAACTAAGCACTTGCTACCGAAGCACCATGAACCAGTAACCTCTCAGCCTGTGTACTTATACCCCGTGAGAAGTTATTAGACCTTAAAATCAGATCCTATGTTATAATTACAACTTTCTCATAGCTTAAAGTGGTTAAAAGGATATTAAAATTGTTTTGGTGGTAGTATAGTAGCAGATGGCGTGATCAAAAACCTTGGGGTAGTTATTACTGGCCACTGAAACATAAGACTAAGGATTGCGAATTAGAAGAAGGATGATATTTAAAACTGCAAGCTCTGTGGAAAAACTAGAAATTACATTTCGTCAGGACCTGGGATTCATGTAATCTAATGAAACTGATTTTAATTAACGCATGTCTTGATTTGCCTGTTCTGAAACATCAACAAATAAAATAGAATATTTTTCGAATATCTTCAATGTATCAGTGATGAAATGGAAAATGAACACAATGCAAAATATGTACAACAACCAACAACAACAAAATATATCCCGACATTCATGTGCAGTACAAAATTCAAGTACAGGAATTGTATCGCAACGAAACGAATCGAATCGAATAGAATAAGACGCGTAAATACACATGTACCTACATACAAATATACTCGGATAATCAGAAGTAGTTAGGCAACAGACAGTAGAATCATCCATCCGCCCCTGTACAGGTGCGATGGATTTATATAGGCAACCAGAAAATGTACCGTTATACACATATATCCAGAGAGTCAAAATGAAATATGAATTGTTAAACAGCAACGCTCTTTGTGTTCCATTAATTGATGATCTCAAACAGAAGAGAGAAAAAATGCAAAACAAAACGAAAACAACTTTTAATTGCCATCCCATGTTGAGAAAATGTGAAGAAAAAATATGTATTTTATCGCTGAATCTTTTGATCTTTACTCTAGCTATTATTAAATAAATTAACCTCTTAACGTTACTGACAAAAAAAAACGAAAATATATGTCATCCATATCAGATGAATTTAAAGAAATTGGTGGGAAAACATTTCATTGATAAATAAATTCTTGAATTTTTCTGCCATGTCGGGGGAAGATATTCTTAACTTTCAGCGATGAAAATTGTTTAAAAATATTCGAGGCGTAGAATGCATCCATTATAGGGATGGGAAAATAGTTTATATTTCTAATTTAACGGGAAATTTTTTAAAACAAATTGATTTATATTGGGTCCTAAAGAAATTCCCATTTTTAGCAGAAAAATTACGACTTGTTTCTTGTTTAATGCCGTGTTTCGAAATAAATTCATATCCCTAATAACAAGAAGGGTTATATTCCTTAACCCTTTGGATGTACTAGTTTAAATTTTCTCCTGTCGGGTGGCATGTATGGGCATTTGTGGTAAGCAAATATTTTGACTTTAGATGATTTTCGATCCTAATTTTCCATAAAGAACCACCAATAATGGATTCATCTGATATAGATTACACACTACCATTGAGCGATTAATAAAATATTAGAAATTTTAATGTTTTGTTCAAAATTTTTGGCTTAATTGTTTTGTTTTTTATATTTTCAAATTGAACTATACGCCGTATGATTAACGAGAATTGTTGATACAACACTCATACGCAACATTGAATAACAGCTTTGTTAATCGCTCTTCCTTTCGAATCGTTTTTATTTTTTTTTTAACAAAATCAAATAAACATTTAATGTTGCATTTGTTCGACATCAGTTATTGTAAATAGTTCATGTGTATTCTTTACAGTCATGTTGATGCATTTTATGTAAAATGAATTAATAAAACTTTAACAATAAAATTAATGACATTCCAATTTGAATTTCAACAAAAAGGTGTACGTTTTTATGTCTTTTAATGATTTTATGATGTATTTTCTTTCATTCAATCATTTACTGGAAGTATTGGTCAGATTTCCACTCTACTGTTCAGTGTTTACTACATATTATGTTTATGAATTTTTCAAAAAAATTGTAAAAATAAGAAAATCACAACAACAAACATTTTATTTTTTGCTAAAAAAATATAATACGTAATTTGAGTATATCATCAGTACTGTTATCAAAATTTAAATATTGAAAAATCCAGAAAATCCACTTAGCATATTTTTGTAGCCCAGCTGCTGGAAGCTTTACTTAGTAACATTTGGGCATGCGCGAGTTTCTTTTTATACCCTCAGCAATATGGCTAGAGAGGGTATGTATCATTTGATACAGCCAAAACGTGCCTCATCGAAATAACGATTTCAGACCATAGGTCTCTTTGGACCAAATCCGTTTCAGTACATTTGGAGTCGATCTAGCGATGTCCGTCTGTCTGTCGGCATGTCCGGCTGGCTGCTGCGCACGATAACTTTCGATATTCTCGAAAGAAGTATCCGATTTGGTCCAAACTTAGAACATCCTAATATAATCAAACTTAGATCAAGTTCGGAGATGAGAAATATCAGTCCACTCCTTCTATCTTCTCCTTCTTTCTGGTACCACCCACATAAAAGGTCGAAATTTTCAAAGAAAATATTTTACTGCACAGAAAGTATAGTGCGATTTTGCTAAATTTCCGAATTTTAATATTTGGTCAAAATTTTGAATAATTATAACTCTTATAAAATGTGATGTAAATGTCCAATTCTTTTCAAATTACATACATCACAATAGTTTTTTCTGGTGTGAACATGGTATATATCGGTCCATTCCTTCTGGTACCTCTCCCACCAAGTAAAAAAAGTTTTGAATAACTAAAACGATTATAAAATACAAAGTAAGCTTTCGGTTTTCTTCAAATTTCGCACATCCAATTATCTCCACTAACACAAGATCTTCTGTGAATATGGGATATATCGGCTTACTCCCCCACATAAAATGCAAAAGTGACATTCAGACTTGGTACATCTCAATATTTCTATCAACACAAGTTCTGTTATAAACATGGTAGACATCGGACCATTACCTCTGGTACCTCCCCCTCAAAGAGTCAAAATTTTGAATAACCAAAACGATCATAAAATCCAAAATAAGATATATCGCAAAATTTTAGCTGGTATCTCAAGCACAAAAGGTCACAATTTCCAATAATTATACCTGTCTTAACTTACGAAACAATATTCTATACAGAAATCTGATATGAATATGTAATTAATTCGGAACCTCCCCTGTAAAGGGTCAAAAGTTAGAATATTTTCCACACATAGATTTTCGAAGAGAAAAACATATTGCTACCTTTTCCTTTTCAAATTTTACATATTCGAAGTCTCAATTTTCACCTTTCCCCGAGCAGATTTCAATGTTTAATCTTTCGAAAAATACCAGTGGTACAATACAAATTAAAATGTATAAAACTTTACTTTCACATTTTAGTCTGAATTTTCAAAACTTCATAAAAATAATAATAGAGTTGAAAAAGCTTGCCTCCATTCGATAAAATGTTTTTTTTTTTGGTTTTTAATTGACATATCTCATAGTGCAGTGCAAAACAATTTTATTTTTATTTACTGGCTGACCTCAGTGTTTTCAAATAAGAGTTGTATGATCAACCGATCGGTTTTAGTTGCTCTAATACTTGAATGATTGACAAATTTGAAATTTCTTTATGCAATATTCATTTTGCAATATTCGGTATTAAATTTTAACGTATCAACTCACCTCAAAATGCCAACATGCTCATCAAAAAATCTCCAATAACAAAAAATTGTTCATTTAATTTAAATCTGTTTTACCTTTTCTCTTTTTCCAGAAACACACAGCGAAGTGACCACCGACAGCGTTACACGAAGACAAGATTCAACTACCGAACAACAGACCACAACCACTGTGGCCCAGACAACGCCACAGCAAACGACTGCTCTGAGCACCGTCGTGACCACAAGTCAAACTTCGCCACCAACTACCGTCCTTACCACATCATCGACGCAACGCACAACCAGCACCAGCACAACAACAACAACGACCACAACCACCACCACAACGGCAGCTACACCAATACCCGAAATACGCACCACAGCAACGGAACGGGATACAACCACCTACGATGTGGTGCACATCTTCAAGTCGGACGACAAGAGTGAAAGCTCGAATATGATTTACCCACAGATACCCGAAGATCGCCTGCCACCCCCACCGCCGCCACCACCCATACACGACAATGATGGACTGCCCTATTTCCCCCTGCCGCCTCAGACCCCACCCTACGGCAATAACAATTATCGACCCAAGGGGAAGGGCGGTCGCATCAACTCCATCGAAGAGGAGCGCACAGCCATGATCATCGGCATCGTGGCGGGTATCCTGATCGCTGTAATTTTAGTTATTTTACTGGTTTTATGGTTAAAATCCAATGGGGATCGTAACTATAAAACTGCTGGTGAAAAAACTATTTACGGTACCCACAATCCTAATGCCTCACTGCTGGGCAACACGAGCACCAACGGCTCCTATCACCAGCAGCGCCAGCAGTCGTCCACCACCAATCACTTGCAAACGACGCAGGATGCACGTTCGCGTTCTCACTCGGGCATTGCCATGCGCAACAATGGCAACGCTGACATGTGCGGACGATCGCAGCCGATGCGTGTCGAACGTGTCTATCACGACTCGACGGATCACAGCGAAGGCGAGGATCGTCCCGGTCTAGTGAAAACGAAAAAACGTGACTCCAAAGATGTCAAAGAGTGGTATGTGTAAATGTGTCACTCTCACTCACTCACTCTCTCTCTCCCTCCCTCTATGTATTTCGCTCTATCTCTCTGTCTGTGTGAGCGCGCAGTGTAAACGAATAATAAACTAATGTCAAATTAGCAATAACCAAACCAAAGAGTCAAACTTTAGCGAAATTCCCGTGAAATTATAGCTCACACACACAAACACACAGGTGGGTCACACAATTCCAAGTATGTATGTATAAGTGAGTGCCCTTGTTGTCCAAAAAGTAATACGAGGGTTGGGTAAACAGTCGATATTTAGCAACCAAAAAGATGAAAAAAGTATATAACAATTATGACATATACATATTTAGTCTAGTTTATTTAGAAGAGGCCTCGGTCAATACAACAGCTCTAAACTACAAAAAGAAAATAATAAAAGCAAAACAAACAAGAACTTACAAAATAATAACGATAATGGAAAACAAAAATCAGTCAATGTACAAATAATTCATTAAGATGCAATGAAAATGATAATAATTGGAATGTATTTCATCGAATTGGAGATGGGTCACAACAGAGCTTTAGCCGAAAACATTATTATCCAAGGAATATGAAAAGGTCAAAGGAGAATCGAATTCACACGGATACAAACACACCAATAATTATGACTCGCTATTTGCAGAGCATTAATCAAACGAATGTTCCTTTTTTCTACAATGCATTGTTGTTGGAGCTGTTTTGTTTTAAGGCAAATAAACACCAAGAAAATAAAAGAAAAAGAAAAACACACATTATACTTTTCTCCAATTCCGATGAGATACATTTCAAAATCTGATTAGAATATCTGTTTTTCGTTTTTTTTTTTTTTTTTTGGTTTGTTAATACATAGAAATATCCATATAAACACATAGACTCATGCAAACATATAGTAATCGTATACATACATATATCATCAATTCTAATCAATGATAATTCTAATCAATTACATATATGTATGTATCTACTGAAATGAAATGAAATGAAATGAAGAGGAGATTAGAAGACCAAACAACGGGAGAATATAAGAAAACGTCAAAGGGTGGCGGGAGTTTAAAAAAAGAAAACAAAAATGATATTCAAGCCACAGGACTGATGTGATTTGAAGCCAAATGTGAGGTCGTCGAGCTTTTGAAAGAAGCGGTTTCAAATTCCCTAAAACATTTAAATGCCAAGGATTAATTCATTGATTAATTCAAAGGGTAATTTCTAGCGAGTTCTATTAAAATTGAGTTTGAAAATAAACTTCGGTGAGTGTATTTCTTTGCGTGTGTAAATGGAGGATAAGGCGTTACTTCAGTTGTAGTTTTTATACCCTACACCACATAGTGATAAGGTCTTTGTCTTTGTAACATAGAGAAGAAAGAATGACAGCAAAAAATGTGAATTGGTCACCTTTGGCACAAATTATGGCCATCAAACGTCCAATGAAACTGTCACGCGATGACCGAAAGTTGTTCTGCGGACACTTTGATATTTTTTAGTGCCAACCTTGCTTTCCAAAATACTCCAGACACAATAGTCCAAAGGTTTGGTATCCGGTTTTGGTGACCATTATGCGCTGAAAATGAAGCGAGGAACCTGATTTGGGACCATTCTTGGGTGCCGCATGCTGAGTCCTGTTGGAATGTCCAAGGTTTACTGCCAAAATGTTTGCGTGCCCAAGGCTTTAATACAACCTCCAGAATATTTTTGCGATAATATTCGGCATTTATTCTGATGCCACGGTCGATAAATACGAGTGGAGAGCGACCATCGGCTGTTATGACGGCTCATACCATCACCATGGCCGGCGCTTGAGTTCTGGTGGCCAACCGAAGGTGCACATTTTCAGCTGACCTCTTTGGCAAGTAAACACGATCATTTTGTTTGTTTACAAACTGCTGAACAAGGAATGTTTTCTCATCGGAGAAAACCAAATTCCCCACTTTCGGCCAAGCGAAATTTTGGAATTTCAATGGCTTTACCCCGACCTCATTTTTCAATATTTCCGAAAGTATATTGCGATATGTTCATGCATTTTGACACATATGTTTCAACCGATTTAGTGTTAAAGTCCCTCACATGCACCCACAAGAATATTTGGTACCAGATATCAGATGTAGTCCAGAAATAACTCTGTCAAATTTTATCGAGATCGGATCAGATTTTGATCAGTTTATTGTGCACCAAATGGCTAATATCAGCCCAAATGAATTGACTCTTGGCAATTCCGACTGAATTCATCCAAAAAACACGATTTGGATATACATTTTTGCAAATCCGAGGGAATTCAGTCCAGAAGCCAGTACTTCAAATTTTGGTGAAAATCGGTTCAGATAGCTATTATATATATATTTCATCGGATTTAGTGTTAATGTCCCTCACATGCGTAATATGCACTCCACAACAATGATATTTGACATCAGATACAGCTCGAAAATACCTCTACCAAGAAACACGATTTGGATATATATTTTGGGACTTCCGAAGGAATTCAGCCCAGAAGCAAATACTTTAAAGTACTTTGAAATCGTTTCAGATAGCTCCTATATATATATGTTTCATCCAATTTAGTGTTACAGGGACTTTAACATGCGTATGATGTACTCCACAACAATGACATCTGGTACCGGAAATCAGATACAGCTCGAAAATACCTCTACCAAAGATCGGTTCAGATTTGGCTTCCAAAGACATACTCATCCGATTTTACGGTTATTGTTCACCATATATGTAATATCAACACAAATTGGATATCAACACTTGCGGGAAATTTGGTTACATAAAAATAGGTATGGATCTACTTATTGAGGAATATAAAACAGTCTTCGAAGGATTCTAGTAATTTTCATCTGAAGAATATATTTTGAAAAAATTGACTAACGGAAATTTGTTTAAGTCAGGATACTTCCTTTTCTTAGTTTCTACTGCAGTAATTTTAGTTTGTGTATATTTTTAGGACACATTCTAAGCTTCTTATACTTCCAAATAAGAAGAAAAAAATTTAGTTTTTTTTTTAAGTCGCATGAGTGCTGAGTTGGCCGCTAAAAAAATTTCCCATCTACTCAGAAGTGAACATTTCTATCAAATCGATTCCAATTCAATTTATTTTCACTTTAGTCTCTTAAGTAACTTAAAGGGAATTTAATACACATTTCTTTGAAAACTCGAACGATAATGACTGTGACTGAAACGCTCACATGATACAGACGGCCTCAATGTCACTTCAAGGTTGTTTGAATATTGTTATTTGATATTCATTCCACCCCCAATCCTCAACTTCAAATAAATACTGCAAGGAGGATACCAAAACTTTATTTCAACTAGAAATGAAACAAATAGAAAACGATTAATTTAGATAGCTTTTAGACTTCGTCGAGAACTTCTAAAACAAACACAATCATATTCACTTTTGTGGGGGACTCCCTCTCAGCCACTCTCCCCCTCAAAATCTCCCGTACAAATGATTGAAAAAGATAAACCACTTCGAATGTTAGACCATTAAACAGGAACATGAAAACAGAGAAAAGCATAAGGATAGGAATAAGAGTAGAAAGAAGAAGAAAAACAAGAGTACTTTAAGAATTTGTGCCATAGTAATTTAAGGAACAAAGAAAGAACCTAAGTTTAGATCTGATTTGTTTTATTTGTTGTTTGGTACTTGTATTCGCGCTGTAAAGTCCTAGTGTATGTATGTATGAATGAAGAATGTAGATAATGTGAGCGATTAGTTAGATGCCATTGTATTATACAGATATTACAAAACAAAACAAACAAACGAACCCAAATATATGACAAACTCATACACACACACATACATATGTACATATCCTTGTATGTATGTCTATGCGTAATCTTAAATAAATTAAATGTAACAAATAGAAGAAAATGCTTTAAACCCCTCCCCCTCTGAATGTATACGGACACACGAGTGCGAGTGTTTCGTTAGTCAAAAATATGGTACTCTCTCTCACGCTCTCATACACGTGACAATAGAGAAGTAGTGACATTTTAGCAAAACCCATGAGAGCAAGAGAGCACACGTAGGAGATAAGGTGTAAAATAATTAAACGAATATGCTAATGTAACTCCTCCCCTTCCCCTCGTATAATGAAATGTGTAATATTTTTAGCAAGTTAGGCTTATTTTTTTGTAAGAATATTAAGAAATGCAAGCAAAAACAACAAAACAAAAGATAAATATTAAAAACGAAGGAGGAGATTTGTTGATTGTTTTTTCCGTTTGTTGTTAGGAAGTAAAAATCGCTGGAAATTGAAGTGGTTTTCTTAATAAAAATAAATACACACACAAAAAAAAAAAATAAATAAAAACTAAAAAAACAAAAATTAAAATCTAGGCAAAGATGAAATCTTTAGAAAATACTTTAAAACAATATTACGCTAAATCTTCATATACTTTAATATTAAATAAAAACGAAGTACACAAGAGGTTAATGTTCAGCAAATAGACACAGACACACTCACACACTTTACACACTCTTTAAACATTTAAACAATACACTCTTACGGTATGGGTAAATACCAACACATGCATACGCAACTTTGCAAAAGGTCCTTAATTTTAGATTCCTTTATTTATTTCCCTCTCTAAACTTAAACCGTTATTGTAAAATTTACTTAAAACAACAAGGTGCTGTAATCTATTAAAACAAAACAGAATAAGACAAAAAAAAAAAAACTGAAAATGAACAAAATAATGGAAATTATTAACTAATTATACAAAAAATAAATACCCCTTCAGCGTATTTAAAAATAACACAAAAATCCTATTATTAAATTTCATTTCACTCTTTAAAAATTAAAAACAAAAAAAATGCAAATATTATTAAACATAAAAAACAACTTCTAAAAATCGATTATATACACAATTACACATACATTACACACACATTTATATACATAGATAATAAACAAGCGTTTAGACAAATATAAATATATACACTTATTACTTACAAACTTATATAAGGGCTTTAAATTATTTTTAAGAAAAACAAAAACAAGAAATGACAAAAAACAACAACTCTTTTTTTCGTTTAGAAAGCTTAATTTATAACAACTCTATATATATTTAAAAAGAAAAAACAGCAGCGACTGGCTACAAAACTTATTAATAATCTACAAAATGTTAATGGAATCAACAATACCCACTACAATACAGCAACAACAAACAATCCAAGAGAATGCAGCTCAAAACAAATATCAATATTTTCCAAATTGATTGGGAAAACACGAAACATTTCGTATTCAAAAGAAATAAACCTTTCGTTTATTCTTTCTTGATCATCTGCCAGGGAAGAGAAGAAAAGTGAGGGAAACAAGGAGACCATTTACGGAGCAATGGAACGTATATACCATAGAGTCTACCTTGTGGACTAAATAATGAAGAATATGAGTCTTCTGTCTAAGGAAGTACTAAATAATGTCCGAATTATTTCCATACAGACAGAATTTAATATCCACACCTTTTGCAATATTAGAGTTGTAATTCATATAACTTCACTTGTAATTTCTAATATTTCCCTTGTAATTCGATATTCGCAAAATTTCAATTGAAATTCGAGAAATTCATTTGTGATTCGAAACGTCTCAATCGTAATTGGAGAATTTCAGTTATAATTCAAAAAATTCCAATTTTAATTCGAATTATTACATTTTTATACACTGAGCCATATGGCTAAGGAGTGTATATATCATTTGATACGGCCAAAACTTGCCTCATAGAAATAATGGTTTTACACCCTAGGTCTCTTTGGACCAAATTCGTTTCAGGACATTTGGAATCGATCTAGCGATGTCCGTCCGTCTGTCCGTCCGTCTGTCTGTCTGGTTGGTACGCAGGATAACTCTCGAAGGGAGTATCCGATTTGATCCAAACTTGGTACATTGTACTATTATTGTCAAACTTAGATCGAGTTCGGAGATGGGCAATATCGGTACACTCCTTTTGGAACCTCCCATACAAAATCTCAACATTTTCTAAGAAAATAAATTACTGCACAGAAAAAGAAGGGATAATCAGATTTTGCTCCTAATATTTGCATCAGAGCTAGTTTATGTGCGAAAATTGACGATATCGGTCTACTCCAACAAGTTCCGCCCCCACAAAGGGTCAAAATTTTGAATAATTATAACTCTTATAAAAAGTAATGTAAATGTCGCATTATCTTCAAATTACACACATCACAATATTTTCATTAACCTAAGGGTTGGTGTGAAGATCAAATATATCGGTAAACTTCCCCCACAAATGGTCAGAGTTTTGAATATTCATGAAGCTCATAAAACACGAAATTAGCATCCAATTCCATTCAGACTTGGCACATCTCAATATTTCCATCAACACAACATCATTCATAAAGATGATAGAGATCGGATCATTCCTTCTGGTACCTCCCCACAAAGGGTCAAAGTTTTGAATAACGAAAACGATCAAAAATCTGAAATAAGCATCCGGCTCTTTTCAAATTACACACATCACAACATTTTTATTAAACCTAGGTCTGGTGGGAAGGTGGAATATATCGGTCCACTCCTTTTGATATCTGCCCCACAAAGGGTCAACATTTTGAATATTCATAAAACGCGAAATTATTCTTCGATTTCGTTCAGACTTGGTACTTCTCAATATTTGCACCAACACAAGATCTGTCATAAAGATGGTAGAGATGGAACGATTTCTTCTGGTACAAAAAAAAAAAACGCTTAAAGCAAGCGAAATAATAAAAATAATATATCTTTGCCGTTATTGGATTCTCTGTTCATAAACTTTACTCAAAGAGCTCAAATAAATTCGCAAATAATGTATTTGCCAGGTATTTTGCTCTGAAAACTGGAAATTTAACCCCCACCTCTTTTTCTTCTCCTTTTCTCTGAAGTTGGTCAATTACAACAAATAATTTAATAAAAACAAAAGAAAAGCTTAAATCAAAAATTATTTGCAATAATTCAAAGCACCAGTTCTAATTTTGAGTTGCATTTGTCTAATCCAAAAAAAGTAAAACACAAAAAAAAAACAAATAGATTTTGGCATATTTTTGAAGACTTGAAAAAATACTTTGAACAAAATTTTTCGCATACATATGTCACGAGAAGACTTATGGAATTTTTTTGTAAAAAAAAAAACAAAAAAAAAACTCAAACATATCAATATTGATTAAAACAAAAAACCAACAAGAAACCAAAAATAACAAATGAATGAATAAAACACTTTTTGTTTATATACAACAGCATTTGAGATATACAATTTTTTACAATTTTTTTTGTATTATTGAAAGCTTTTTTGTACACAATCAAATATATCTCAAAAACAACAACAACAAGAAAATCAACATGAACTATTAACAAATGCTTAATTTTTGTTTTTACAAACAAAAAATATACGATTTTCATTACCTTTGCCTGGCATACAAATCTATTATTTGTTCCGAAACTAAATATTTATTACACACAGACACACACACACAAACAAAGTTAAAGCTGCACAAGGAACTTTTTGCATTTATAAACAGTAAAACAAACAACAACATTATCTCAAAATACCAATTTTTTCCATTTAATTCTGCTTTTTGATCGAATTTTCTAGAGCCACATTTTCCACAAGAAAAAAAACCAAAAAGGACAAAACCAAAGGGTTGTGCGATTGATATTAAAACAGTACAGTGAAATTGGAGTTTTAAAACAAAAAAATATAAAGAATGATCGGAACTGTAATCACAAATTTATTGGATATTAGATAACCGGCAATTTATAAACTACAATATTGCAAAGTTCAATAACATAATGTCGTTTTTAATTATGACACATATTAACTAGACGAATATTGGGAACAAGTCTTCTAACAAAAAATTCTTTATTAAAGTCCTTTTTTCTGAATATTTTCCATTGGGTTTTTGGGGCTAAATTTCTCCATGTGTTAGATTTTATGATACATTTGGGATAATTTGAAATATCTCTAGTTTAGTAAAAACACTTTGATTTTTTCGAAATATTTTCCAGAGGTGGGTATTTTTACCTTGATTTCGGGAAACTATTTTTTTCATGGGGGACGGACCCGGAACCCCAGGTTTCTAACCCGAAAGTCCAGGTTCAAGACCCGGATCCACTTATAGGTATCGTTTGAAGGCTTATGAAATTACCTATCCAACAAGTGGTTACATAATTGGGTTATTTATAGCGGTTCTGAAGTTCTTGTCAAATTATCGATTGGACTCCGAATTTTTATAAAACCACCAAAAAGGCGAAAAAGGGACAACAAAATTTATGCCAAATTATAGCTTACACTCTTATCTTTCCAAAATGCTACAATTTGTGTCAAAAAATTGGAGTCACGGGTCCGCCCCCAAGAAAAAATAAGTTTCTCGAATCAGGGTATATATATACTACCTGTGAAAAAAATCGAAATCCGAAATATTTGCATAAGCATGGTTGGTTGAAATTTAAAAATTATTCAATACGCTTTTGAACTAATACAGATCCATCATTAGATTTTTCTTTGGCGTTACTCGTTAAAAAAATAAATAAAAACAACGACAACGTTGGGCGCCATTGTGCCTTACGGCATGAATGTTCATATCGTAAAAAAACCTACTCCTCATCGTGTAAGAGGAGAGCCGATTGATATGTTAAACTTGACTACGTAACTTTACAGTACTTGGAGATTTCGCCCTCCTGCTGAGGTGGTTGAGGTCTATAATCTAAATTATGTTCTTCCTTCCATCACTTTTCCCTCTTGCGACCATGAAGTCCTGCATTGTTTGTATAAGATCCTTACTTCTAGTTCAAAACACCCTTCCGATCCAAATTTCGGGGTTTGCAAACAGTTACTAGCTTGGCCTTTGGCAAGATTCGCCAAAGCTTTTAACTCACTTTTCTCTTTTGCGACCATGAAGTCTTGCATTGTTTGTCCTAACTTCTAGTTGAAAACCCCCTTTCGATCCAAATTTCGGGGTTACAAACAGTTAATAGCTTGGCCTTTGGCAATCTTCGCAAAAATTGGCTGTACAAGGAAATCATAAGATATATATATATATATATATATATATTTTTTTTTTTTTTGTTTTTCCGCACCTTATTAAGGGAATTTAACTAGAAAAAGAGAGATTTGTGTAATGCACTCTGAGAGAATAGCTTTGCCCAGAAAGTACGGGCAGCTGGGAACCATGCTACTATGTTTTACACCGCTGCACCCAGGAAAAGGTAGTAAAAGATAACATCGTATTTTTTGTTGTTTCTCTGGAAGCAAAGACTTATTTGAGAGAACGCATTTTGAGTTATCATAATAAAGGAGATAAATCCACCTGGTGTCTTGTCCCATCTTTATACTTCTATGTCTTTGCTGCAAATTTTACTAGTTTTTTAGGGAAGCGAAACAATAAAAACAAATAACCTGGCTATGTTAAAACAAAAAAAGTAACGATACATCTTTTGATGCTTAAAAAAACGCTCTAAGAATCTGCCGTCTATTCCCAGGAATATAATATCATTTACCCAGTTTCCAAGCCATTTTTGGAATAAATTAAATATTCTTAGAGCTATGGTTAAAAGTATCACAAATTTTCTGCACCATGTTTTCTGGTTGTAACGTAGAAGAGCGAAAATAGATCTGATTCGAGGCATTCCCCACCGGCAAAATTGAAAAAGTATTGATGATACCACCAACAACATTTTAGCATATATAATATTTAGCAAAATATCTAGAAAGTCAAATTCGATTTCAAAATCTTCTGAGGCGTATTGAAAAAAAAAAAACGGATTAATTTTAAATATTTTATATATTTTAGTGGGAATGAAAGTGAAATTGTTTTTTTTTATTTTGATGGGAACAGATTAATCGCACAACACTTCGAATCGTTTAAAAAAAATCACACCATGCTTAAAACAAAACCAAAACAGTTTCAAATATTTTAGTTTTGTTTGTTTCTGTAACAGAGATGTCCCACCATTTTTTTATGTAATGCAATTAAAAAAGTTTACAACAAACCGTAAAAGAGAAAATACAAATAAACAGAGCAGAGTTACTAAATAATGCATGTCATCAATTACCAGGAGAATCTATAAATGCCTCTTCCCCCAAACTAGAGCCCCGTTAATTTTTGTTAGGCTTCAAACTCATTCCTAAACAACAACAAAAACACCAAATTTACTTTTTTTATTCCTTCCAAAACACTATATAAATACATATATTACGATATTAATATTATATTCACATATATATAAGGGTGTACTGAAAAAAGCTAATCTTTTTTGTGTAAGTCTTATTAGGGATGCTTATTACAAAACTTTTTTTCTTGTAATAAGTTTTTTTGAATATATGTACATATTTATTGAACAATAAAATTGGATTTTATTCATTGAAATATTTGGCCAATTTTCTAAAAATTTAACTTTTTCGGTACCCCTTAATAAACAAAGGAGTCCTGAGTCAGACAAATGTAACTGTAAATGTTTATGTTTTCAAGGTGTACTACGTCTTTAGGTTCAAGTTTGAAATCGGATGTTTGTATTTGGGAGCTAATATTTAATATTATATGTCTAAGAGCTATATCAAGATTTGAAATAATTTCTACAAAATGTCTCAGAGATACTTCTAAGATGTATTTGAAACTTTGTACAGACTAAAATACATATATTGTGCCGAATAGAGTGCTTAGTGCGACATTGTAAGGTATTGAAAATCAAATCGGTAAAAAGGTATATTTTGGGAGCCTGATCCGAAAATCGCAAAATTATATGGACTCTGTGTGTTTTAAGCCGTTTTTTAAATAATTATGAAATGGGATTAAAATAAATATGGCCAAATTTGAAATCAATTTCAATAGTATTCTTCCTTGAGCCAAACAAATGAACTGTACAAAAGTCGGACGGACCTGCACAAATCGGCATATCAAGAAAGTAATGGGACTGTCTTGTTACAAACAAAGGCATAGTAGTCTGTACCACAGTCCGGCGTAGGGTTAAAAAAAACAGTGTGTTCTGATTCCGAAACACTCAATTTTGAGAAGACTGTTAACAGTTTAAACAGACCCGCTATGAATTCAAACATTTGTGTTTTACTTTGTCTCATTTCCAGAATGCGAAAATCTATTAATTTAGAAAATCGTATTGGAAAGCCTTTCCCGTACCCATTTTATACCCTCAGTCATATGATACGACCAAAAGGTGTATCATCGAAATATAGGTTTAAGAGCCTAGGTCTCTTTGGACCTCTTTATTTAACATTAATTAACATCCGATTCCATTCAGACTTGGCACATCTCAATATTTCTATAAACACAGGATCTGTTATAAATATAGTAAAGATCGGAGCATTCCTTTTGGTACCTCACCCACAGAGAAATCCGATTTTTAATAACAAAACGCCCTAAAATAGCGATATAAGCGTCCGATTCTTTTCAAACTTCACGCATCTCAATACTTTTACTATCACAAGATATGGTGTAAAAATTATAGATTTTGGGCTATCCCTTGTTGTACCAACCCACCCCCCCCCCCCCCAAAAAAAAAAAAAAAAAATCTTCATTTTAAATACCAAAATGCCTCATAACTTGCGAAACATGTCTTCGAAACCACCCCCATAAAGGCTTAACATTATGTATTATAAATAACAGATGGCCAAATAAGTTTAAATAAAGGGACAAGAGCTGAGTGTAAACTTCCGTAGGCAAAATCCGACTGATACTTTTTAACTTGTATTTTGAGTAATAATCTCACAAAAAAAAAAATGGGAAGTAAGTTTATTGGTCGTTGACATTGCCCCTAAGTTAAAAATTGTTTGCTAGCTTCCTCTCCCGCCTGTCTTAGTGAATAATTTCTCTCCGATCGATTCAGACAGTTCGCTTGTTTTCAAATGATTAAAAACTGTGCCATAGCTTTCATTTACATAGGCTTTCCTCTTCTACGTTTACATTGACGTTACAGTTACGTTTGTCTAAATTCAGCTTATCATCTTATACACGTTTTTTATACACACTTGTAGGCTAATATATACTCTTTATTACATCTTAATTGTAGTATATATATACATACCTACATACATTGCATATATATAGTATATACATATTGTTACATACATATATATACACATATACATACATATATACAAATAAAATTAGAATACAATGAAAAGAAACAGAATGAATAACGAAAAGTATAGCAAATGCAAACAACAGAGTAACAAAAGGTTTAGAAAATTGAATACAAATTAAAAAGCAAAAATACAACAAATTACAAACAATTAATACGAAACAATAACAGATACAGAGACATATAAACAACGTATAATCAATCATAAATATAAATATTTATTTTTTCAAAAAGTTCTATACTTTATTAGAAGCTCAAAAAAAGTTGTTTTTAGATCTTCTTAAATTTTGGCATAATATTATTATTTTTTTTAATATAATGGAAACTATACTGGAATACCCGTATGTTTTATAGAACCCGATTCCATTTAAGATATTTTACAGAATTTCTGAACAAACCTCACTTAACCTTTCAAAGACATCTGCCAATAGTTCATTTATATTCTGAAAAGTCCCTTTATATTCTAAAAAGGAAAAAAATTCAAAATATTTTCAATCAAAAATAACTTCAATATAAAACGGGCATAAAATGGCAAAACTGAAGAATTTTTCACAGTGTAGAAAATTCAAAATAAGAAAACAAAACCCTGGGAAAAGCTAAAAGGCAATCATGCAAAATTGGATTCCCATATGTCTAAAGAAATAACAAATGTGTCCAGTATAGCCCAATCCAAAGTTGACTTGACTTTCGAAAAGAAAGCTCCAAACGTTAGTAATTTCTTAGAATTCGATTTCTGTTTAGCATACTTTCAAATGCTTTTAACATTTTACTTCGAAACACTCATTCAAAATTATGACACCAAAACCAATTCAATTATTTATTTTTAGGAAAAAATATTTTTTCTAAACATAATCTTTTTGAAAAAGCTTCTTTTTTTGGTTATTTCCAACACACCCATACTATTTCAATACAAAGAAAATAACAGTTGGGCAGCTACTGCTCACCTATATAGACAAAAAAAAAGCCCGATACCAATAATATATTTATAGCAAACTTCATTATTAACTATTATGTACTATTATTAAAGAAGAATACAAAAAAAAAAAAAAATAGTAACAATTGAAAATAAAAAACAAAACTAAAATTATATTTGTATGTAGAATATTCCTCAAGTGATTGTTAAAACCAATTAAAAAAAGGACAAACATGATATTAACAAACAAAAGAATATTAACTAATTAATTGCTTTGTTTGTGTTAGTTTTATTTTTATAATTTTTAAACTAAAATAACATAAAGCATACATTTATATTTATATATAACAAAAATATTATAAAATACAAAAACATATATAAATCATTATTAAGAAAACAAGAAAAAAGAGAATAAAAACAGAACGACTGACTAATACACAAAATGAAAATAAATCATTATTATTATTATGATTATCATTTGAAATATAATAAAATTATAACTGTAATCATTATTACTATTATTATTTAATTAAATTGCATATAAAAAACAAACAACATAAACAAAAGAAGGATATTAAGTTATTAACAAATAAAAACTAATAATATTATGTATTATGATAATAACATTAGAAATTATTAATAACTAATTATAATGAAATATTGAAAAAAAAAACAAGAAAAATAAATAAAAAATAATAAAGTATTTATTGAATAATAAATAATTGCTGTGTTTTCTTTTGTTTTATCGGGATTTTGTATTGAAAATCATCTCAATTTCAACTGAAGATCATTAATCATGCAAATATGCAAAATCAACGTAAAGATGGCAATATCATTCCGAATACCTTATTTGCGGGGGCATACGCCGACATCCATAACCTCAGTCTTTTTTTTATCAATTGGTTGAACCTCATTCGGGCTCTATTATAAATACATCCCGTATTTTTGAGTTGTTATACCCCCATTTGAAGTCGATCTAGGGATGCCTGTAACCCTCGAATGGGGATATCGTAATATTTTTACCGAGCTTACAGGGTGAGATAAAAAAAAACTGAAACAAAGTCAAACGCCGTAATTTTTAATTTTTTCTTTTGATTTTATTGAATGAAAGCAAAAAATGTCGGAAATAGTATCAAATTTTAGAATAAGCTTAGAATAAGATTGATCACCTTTGGCACACGCAGCCCGAATGTTGCTCTGGGGTATTTTGGCCCATTCCCGGCGAAGCACTTGCTTAAGGTGATCGACACTTTGGTACTTATTAGTGCCAACCTTGCTTTCCAAAATACTCCAGACACAATAGTCCAACGGATTGGTATCCGGAGATTTTGGTGACCATAGTGCGCTGGAAATGAAGCGAGGAACCTCATTTTGTAACCATTTTTGGGTGGGCGTGCTGAGTGCCATGGTGCTAAGTCCCGTTGGAATGTCCAATGCCCCGGTCGACTAATAGGAGCGGAGAGCGGCAAGTAAAAACGATCATTTTGTTTGTTTACAAATTGCGGGACAACGAATGTTTTCTCATCGGAGAAAACCAAATTCGGCAGTTCACCACTTTCGGCCAAGCGAAGCAACTCTTTAGCTCTTTTGAGTCTATTTTCTTTCTGTTGCAGTGTAAGTTCTTGCACTTTTTGGAATGTCAATGGCTTTACCCCGAGCTCATTTTCCAATTTTTCCCGAATGGAATATTGTGATAAGTTCAGCTCACGAGCCATTTTTCGGCCACTGCGACGCGGGTTTTGATCAAGTCGATTCTTCACTTTTAGAACCATTTCTGCTGATGTGGCTGTTTTTTCCGTCCACTTCCTAGACGTCGGGCTACGCTACCAGTATCACAGTAAAGGTGAAACATATAGGACCACCTCATCTGGTACCTCCCCCCACAGGTCAACATTTTGCATGATTATAACTGTTATAAAATGTAAAATAGGCAATCGACCCACTTAAAATTTCACACACACACCAATATAATTAGCACAAGATATGGTCCCACTCCATCAAGTACTTGCCCCAAAAAGGGTCAACATTTTGAAGAATTATAAAATTGGAAATAAGAGTACGGTTATCTTCAAATTTCTCACATTCCAATATTTTTACCAAAACAGCATCTGGTAAGAAGATGGAACATCCGCCACAAAGATCATAACGATTATAAAATGCGAAATAAGCAACCGATTCTTCCTAAACTTCACGCATTCCAATAGTTCCACCAGTGCAAGATCTGTTGTGAAGATGGAATATAACGGACCACTTCTTCTGGTACCTCTCATACAACAGGTAACACATCCCATGTCAGCGATTCTTTTCAATCTTGGTATATAAAAACTTTTTTAACGAGAAATGTGAATATGGAAATTCATAAACTGATACTTTTAATTTTTTTTATCCAACTTGTTACGAAAAAATAATTGGTTTCAAAAATTCATCTGGGATATATTTCTTCAGAAACAACATATTCTACTAGAATGACGAATTAATACTCGTTTCAAATGATTTGTTTAATGGAAAAGTCTTCACTTTCTTATTTTACTGGCATCGGCATCTTCGTAAAAGAACAAAGGAGTTTTAGGATGACTTACTTAAATTTCGGCCTATAATTTATGTGTGTTTACCCACGCTCCATCGTTCTTTTACGAAAAAAAGACGATAGTTTAAGCCAAGAAAAAAATACTTCCATATGATGTGTCAAAGAATTGTCTAAGCCAAAATATGCCAAACTGTTTATGTATCACAATTTTTACGGTAACTCCAACAACAATTCAAAATTTTCAGAAACATAGTTAATCATGTTTCATAAACCCAAAATAGCTGTTTTTTGCTTTTAATGCACATACTATCGAGGGCATATAAAGTTTAAGTTTACAAAATCCAGAAATGATAATTTTAGATTCGATTTTTCACTTATGTATATCAAGCTCGACTATGAGGTTCATCGGACCACGGGCATCCCTTTTAGTATTTTGATTTTTGCAACATATTTTCCGGGTGAATTGACTTCTTAGTACTTTTTTAAAACGCATTTTCAAATACCCAGTCTTGTAGACCCTTCACTTTCATCTTCAAATGTAATTTCCAGAACTTCATTCATTATTCTATAACCTCCTCATTACTATAACTAACAAATCAAATACTAAACTTTAACATTTATTTTTTTACTGTCTTCGTTCTAACTTCCTTTTACATATAAGAATAATATCTTAAAAAACGCACATAAGTCACTAAATATTTTATGAGTCCGTAAGTGCGCATGTTCTTAAAAGTTTAATTTTAAATTGTATAATATAAAATCGTTAATTTACATTAACATATTCATTTCTTTGCTCCACAAAATTGTAAAATGACTACTTAGAGTTATTATTTTTTTTGGTAATCAGTTACTCGCATTTCCTTTACAGCACTAATCGCCTTTTATTTTATGTCAACAAACACAAGTTGCGATAACGAAACGACGAACGAGGAATACAAAAATGAAGAACAAAACACTTGAAGAGGGTGGAAGCTTTAGGCATGTCGTCCAGATTGCAGAATGCATTTTAATTGCCGATGATCATGGAATGACATCTAAAGTGGAAAAAACACGATCGAAAGGGGTGCTTCACGACTGATAGCAGGCACTTATAGCGCATTAATAAAAACCAAGTGTGCTCTTTAGCAAGGCAACATTTTATAGCGAAACATCAAGCCAAAAACAGTTGACTGAGGCGATAATCGAAACAGTTCGACAATGAGTTTTATACCAACAGGTGAGTATGAATTATCTAATGTATTAATGAATATTTTAATTCAATTCAATTGTAGAACACCAGCATAGGCGTCTAAACCCTTTGACGGGTCAATGGATTTTAGTGTGCCCCCATAGAATGCTTAGACCCTGGTCGGGACAACAGGAATCACCGCAGAAAAATGATTTGCCTGAATTTGATCCAAGTAATCCCTTGTGCCCCGGCGTGACGAGGCCCAATGGCGTTGTAAGAAATTTTCACCCGCACCCCCATTCCAACATCAAACTTACAACGTTAATTTAATTTCAGAAAAATCCCAGCTATGAAAGCACGTTTGTTTTTACCAATGATTTTCCAGCTCTATTGGAAAATATCCCAGCACCACCGGAGAGTGACGATCCTCTGTTTCAAGCTGCTGCTGCAAGAGGTACTTGTCGTGTCATGTGTTTTCATCCAAAGTCCAATTTAACCTTGCCGTTGATGAGTCCGGCCGAAATTGGAGTGGTAATTAACGAATGGATAAACCAATTCAATGAATTAAGTGCCAAATACACCTGGGTGCAGATCTTCGAAAACAAAGGTTCCGCAATGGGATGTTCCAATCCTCACCCCCATTGCCAAATATGGGCCTGTTCTTTTTTGCCATCAGAGCCATCGATAAAAAATGATAACCTCAAAAAGTATTTTCAAAAATATAAGAAGCCACTGCTACACGATTACGCAGAGAAAGAAGTGCTACGTAAAGAGCGAGTCGTTATAGATAACCCCGATTGGTTAGTGGTAGTGCCATATTGGGCAGCATGGCCATTTGAAACAATGATCATATCGCGTAACAACAACAAACGCATTAATGACCTGACCGAACAGCAAAAGAAGAATCTAGCTCTGGTCATAAAACAGCTGACAACCAAATATGACAACTTGTTTAAATGTTCTTTTCCATATTCAATGGGTTTCCATGGTGCTCCAACTGGTTCGATGTTGAACGATGATGACAGCCACTGGACTTTACATGCAATTTACTATCCTCCATTGTTGAGATCAGCTACTGTTAGAAAATTTATGGTGGGTTTTGAGTTGTTGTGTCAGGCTCAAAGAGATTTAACAGCGGAACAAGCGGCCCACCGTTTAAGGGAGTTGGATGGGGAGAAACATTATTTGAAGGAATAGCGCTGTGAAGAAGAAGTTTACCACAATGTAAAACGTTTGTAATGTAAAAAACTTGTTTCAATTGTACCAAATGAGTAATAAAAACCAAAAATTATATTCTAAATGAGTGGACAATATTTTTTACTGAATAATTTATCATGTTTGACGAATGTGAGATAGTCATTTTCCGTAGATGAAATATTTATATCAAGAATTTCAAAAACGAAATAATGTAGTAAATGATTTGAATACCAAAGTAATCTATCTATATATAATTTTGCAAATTATTGGATCGTTTAAGATTTTCGTTAATGATCATCATAACATCATAATATTATCTTCTAGACTTTGACATTTCATAAACATTTTATCATTTTTGCATCTGAATTTAGATATTCAAAATCGGCGTAATGTCTTACCACTTACATATTTATCAGATTTGAAAACGAATATAGAGCAAGGAAAATCAAATTTCTTAAATTATGCGAATTAATTCATGTCTTTGGTTTCCCTTGTATTGAGCTTATGACCTTGGCACTTGCGTAAAAAAGATTTTGTCATAGCAGTTATTTTTAAATAAAGGAACTGATGAGGATTTGTAGCTCTTTTCGAAATCAGGATATTGCCTGCATTACCCTCTGGTAAAAATTACCATATTTTCTACAGTAACAACCAAACCTTGTTTTTATTATTTGATACAGCCAAAACGTGCCTAGCCGAAATAACGGTTTTAGACCCTACGTCTCTTTGGACCAAATCCGTTTCAGGACATTTGTAGTCGATCTAGCGATGTCCGTCCTCTCGAAGGGAGTATCCGATTTGGTCCAAAATTAGTACACCCTAATATTATTGCCAAACTTAGATCGCTTTCGGAGATGGACAATTTCGGTCCACTCCTTCTGTTACCTCCCCCACAAAATGTCAACATTTTCAAAGAAAATAATTTTCTGCACAGAAAGAGAAAGGATAATCCGATTTTGCTCCTACTTTGCATATCATAATATTTGCATCAGTGCTTGGTCAGGTGCGAAAATGGACAATACCGGTCTACTCCTTCAAGTACTTCCCCAAAGGGTTAACATTTGGAATAATTATAACTCTTATAAAATGTAATGTAAGCGTCCGATTGCCTTAAAATTACACATATCACAATATTTTTATTAACCCAATGTCTTGTGTGAAGATGGAATATATTGCTCCACTCTTTCTGGTACCTCCCCCACAAAGAGTCAAAATTTTGAATATTCATGAAGCTCATAAAACACGAAATTAACATCCGATTCCATTCAGACTTAGTACATCTTAATATTTCCATCAACACAAGATCTGTTATAAAGATGGTAGAGATCGGATCATACCTTCTGGTACATCTTCCACAAAGGGTCACAGTTTTGTATAATAAAAACGATCATAAAATACGAAATAACCATTCGTTTCTATTGAAATTGCATACATCACAATATTTTTATTAACCCAAGGTCTGGTGGGAAGATGGGATATATCGGTTCGCTCTTTCTGGTACCTCCCCCACAAAGGGTCAACATTTTGAGAATTCATGAAGTTGATAAAACGGGAAATTAATATCCGATTCCATTCAGACTTGGTACATTTCAATATTTCCATCAACACAAGATCTGTTATAGAGAAGGTAGAGATCGGATCATTTCTTCTGGTCCCACCCCCATATAGGGTTCAAGATTTGGAAAAGCAAAATTCTCAAGGAAAGCAAAATAAGCATCCAATCTCTCTTAAAATTTCACACATATAAACATTTTTCTAACAAAAGATCTGTTGTGAAGATGATATATATCTGCGAACCCCTTCTGCTACCTAACCCACAAAGAATCACATTTTTCAATACTTTATCTGTCATAACTTGCGAAAAAAGTCAGGGTTTCTTTACAACTTGCTATATCTAAATATTTGTCTTAAGCAGAAATCTGATATGAATATGTAATTTATCGGAATTTATTTGATAAAATGAGATATAAATGTTCGATTTCCTTCAAATTTTGGACATACCAATATTTTTATCAGTATTAGATGCAGTATGATAATGGAATACTTCGGTCCGCTATGTCTGTAACCTCACACATATTTCCACATTTTCTAAAAATTATTATATTATTATTATTATTACATATAGGAAGTAGTCGATGTAGTCCACGGTGTTATATTAATATTAGATTTAGGACGGATACGAGTTGGTCAATATTGGCCAACGGCTTCGGAACCTTCCCCATAAAAGGTCAACAGTTTGAATAATCATAACTCAAGGCTGGGGGTATAAATCTATCGGTAAATCCGACTGATACTATTTTACTTGTTTGTATATCATTGAAAACAATACATTCACAAATACTGTGAATATGTTTTGACATGGCCAGCATAAGAAAATATTATTTTCAGGTGATTTCTTTAGACTACCTTGAAAATTGTTGTACCCCTGGTAATTAATGCATATAACTTACACAGGTATGTCAATACACATATAAATGGAATATTTTTATTAGAAATAAATTGTGAGCTTTTTCATCGATATGGATTACAACATCTGTGAAGGCCATCCTGTTTTTAAGGTTCTGAATTTACCCGAATCATTTTGCATTTTTTACTATTCAAGTTATATATTTTTAATCAGTCCATTTCATCCCACCGCAGTTATAAATATATCAAAATATCAAATATGTATTTTATGTTATATATAATTTTATTTATTTTGCAGTATAATCAAAAAACTTGGATAAAATCCAATTATTAAAAAAATCATTTGTTTGTTTTGTTTTTTGTTATTATATAAACCACATAATCAAGTCTTTCTTATACGTATTATAATGTGTGTGTAACTGTGTAGTTAAAATAAATAAGCGACTAAGTTTCATGTCATTAGAGATGCTTAGAGGTAATGTAATTGGGTTTTGTTATCATGAATGTAAGAGTAAAATCTGTAATGTTTCCTTTGTTATTTGTATGTAGTTAATATTATGTTTCTAAATATGTATTTGTGTATATGTATGTGGTTTGGCCAAAAAGACAACAACACACTAGTAATTCTATATATAGGTATTTCTTTTTATAAGAGTAATTTAATTACCAATAAATAACATTTTCCCCAAAAAAATACGAACTGTGTAAACTTTAACAACCAACAAGGACATTTAGACTAATAATCACTCGACTATAATAATTATCGTAATTACGATTACAAATATAATTGTTTATAACTATACGCTTTCTATTTCATTATTTAGATTATAAAAAGCTTTTACACACAACGAGACATTGACATATGAATAGCGCAAGCACACAGCTATATGAGTATCTATATGTATGTATGAACATGCCGGTAGCAGCACGCATCCTTCCGTATATTACGGGCGGTGCACGTGTGTTGGCATGACATATGAATTAAACAACGACATTGCAGTAGAACATTTTTCAAAAAACACCGGCATGAAGCGACAACAAAGAAACCCTACACCATTAAAATTTGACTTTGTTTATTTTTAACAACTGAGTAATTCTTACAAAAAATTAGGGCTTTTCTTACAGAAATTCCTCTTTAAAAGCAAAGGCTATATTGAACCTAATTTTAATTTACGGTCGCTGTAAAAGCTACAAATATAAATACGGACGTTTTTCTTTTGAAAACATAAAAATTAAACAACAAACAGATAAAATTCAATCTAATTTGGCACGGAATTCAGCTTTTAGCATTTTTCTTCATAAACTATTTTGAGCTCTTTTTTATGTAACAAAAATTCCGATATAAAACAAAGAACATCCCACATCGTACTGACTGCCAATATGTACATGATCGCTGGTTAGGTGTAGGGTATCGAGGCTAAAGTATCTTTTTCAACTTTTAAGCACACACAACAAGTATTTGCCAAGTGCTTTTGTGGTTGAGTGCCATACATGGAAACATTTAATATTAGTTTTTGTTTTCAATGTTCATTTTCTTCCTTTCCTTTTCTTGGAGATGATCCAAAAGAGTATGCAAGGAATGTCTTTAGGGTATATAAAGATGGATGTTTATGCGTGTGTTGGTGTGCAAATGTATACCCACACTCACACATAGGCAATTCGCATTTTTTACGGCTATATCCTCCTCACAGCCAGGTAGACAAACACATTCACACACTTGGACATTATGTTTGCAAATAAGGCGGCGGTTTAGAATTTTTTCATTACCGCACGCTGCTGCAAGGATTGCATTTCGCTAAGCAAGACGGCGACATTGTACCGCAGACGATGAAACATCGCCAATGGCAGTTCAAGGGTCCGGTAGCGACCGTCTGATAACTGGAAATGTAGAATGATGGTAGGTGTTACAACAGCACCTCCCCTCTCGCCATCACTGCCAGTTGGTTTTTTGTTGCCTGCGGATGAGGGGCCCCGTGGTATACTGAAATATCAACCCAAAAGGCAAATAGGAAGATGCGTTTGCTTGTTTGTGGAGGACAAGTAGGCTACATACCTCAGGGATATATTGATGCGCCACTGCAGATTTTTGGCACATGACCGCAACTGTTTGGCCTCCACATAGTTCTTGGTTAATGATGAGCGATGATTGTGCAAAACTTTGGCCAAATCTTCAACGCATTCGTCACTGAATCTAAACATATGGTGTCAAAATTCAATTAGTATTTTTGTCAATTGCAAATGGAATGTGGATCCAACCTTAAGTCCTGTTTCAAACAGTCCCTTAATTCCTCTGGCTTAACTGGAGTCCGTAGAAATATTTGCATTATCTGTAATATGGCTGCGAACAGCTCACAGAAATTTTCTGGTATCGGGTGGCCGGCGTGTGTCAGTTTATTCAGAGCCAAATCCAATACCTCGGGCGAACACTTACTGCTCTCGATATAGTGCACCGACACTTGGATGAGAACCCGCATCACAGGCTTGGTTAGTTGTGGAAAGAATTTCACATAAGGTCGTATTGTTTTGACTACTGTATAGCGAAAATTAGTGGACATTTTGCTGGAAGCTGTTTATTGTTCTGTTCGTCTTGTGTGGTGGTTATCCTTTCGGTATATGTCCGTGCTGTTCGCGTATAAAAATGGGTGTACTACCAGTCTATCAGCTGGATGTTTATAAATGCCAGCCAGCAGCTCTCAGCTTATTTTTGTTTGGACATAGAAGAGACTAACAAAAAACATATGTTTTTACGAATGTGGAGAGAACACCAAAGAGACGATGGTTAAGAAAGAGATGCAAAGACATGATTGTGTTTGCTCGTCATGTTGTTCGATTTCCTGTTCAATCTGATGATGAAGATACGATATGTTGTACAACCGATGTGAAACCACAAGGCCGTTAATTTAAAATAATGGAAAACTAAAATACACATAATTCCAATATTCTGTGGATGTTTTTGTAAAGCTTAGGGTCAATTATATAATTATAGAGACCAAATGAAGTAAAGGCACACATGCTAATGTCTAAGAAATGTAAAACTTTGAAATAAAGTATTTAAATAAGAATAAAAAAAACATAATAATTAAAACATGCAATAATTCAATTTTTGTCAAGGTAATTTAAAATTGCTCAAACGTTTCTGAACTTTTGTTGATTTGAATGATGTTACGGGGTATTTGGGTAATACGGACGTATAAACCGTAGATTTTTATATGTTTTCTTATACGACGCCAATTGTAGTTTGTTCTGATAGGCAATTTTCAACAGTTTTTACAAAATTCAATTATTTTTCATTCTAAATTGTCAATTCCAAAATTGGTTTGACATTTCACTATCCCAGCAGCTGTGTTGATGCGGCAACCTGTATACTTCTACCATCCGCAATTCTGAGAGCGAACAACGTTTTTCGGTTTCCAATGAAAACATGCTATAAGGTTACCCACATGAATATTTGGCTACTCCACGACTCCTTGTTTGCAAAAAATCAGCTATTCTTGCAAACAATTTAGGCTTTTCCATTTCTATTAAAATTGCAATCAGAATAGATAATCAGAATAGACAAATAAAGGTATAGACTAAAAAGTTGTCTCATCTGTGATCTCCGAAAAAAGTGCTTCAATAGATGTCGTTCATGCTGTGAGAGAGCAAAAGTCTATTCACTCAATTCTCTCAAAATACAAAATATTGAATATTTTTATACCCTCCACCATACTATGGACGGTATATTAACTTTGTCATTCCGTTTGTAACTCCTCGAAATAATCATGTCAGACCCAACAAAGTATATATATTCTTGATCAGCGTAAAATTCTAAGTCGATTTAGCCATGTCCGTCTGTCTGTCTTTCCGTCTGTCTGTCTGTTGAATTGTTTCAACTTTGGTATTTGAAGTTCGAAATGGATACTACAGCCTATGACAGAAAATTATCTGGGCAGGTCCACGTCTTCGTATAGCCACCATATAACGGTACCTCCCGATATTCGGTATTTTGATGATATTAGCGACATTATTCACCGGAATTGTTTCAAATTTGGTATTTGAGATTCGCAATGGATGCTACAGCCTATGTTAAAAAAATGTCTGTGCAGGTCCACGTCTTCGTATAGCCCCCATATAACGGTACCTCCCAAAATTCGGTATTTTGATAATTTTAGCGTCATTATTCACCGGAATTGTTTCAAATTACGTATTTAGAGTTCGTAAAGGGAACTACAGTCTGTGACAGAAAATAGACATTTTTCAGGTCCAGGTCTTCGTATAGGCCCCATATATCAGTACCTCCCTATATTCGGTATTTTGACGAGTTTAGGTACAATACCCACCGAAAGTGTTTGAGATATCGTATTTGACGTTAGTAATGGATGCTATAGCCTGTGACAGAAAATTGTCTATGCTGGTCCATTTTTCGCACAGCTCCGATATAATGGTACCTCGCTATATACGATATGTTGATGATTTTAGCTACATTATTCACCGTTTATTTCAAGTTTCGAATTTGAATATGGTAATGGCTATTGGCAAACAATGCCTATGTAGGTCCACGTCGTATAGACACCAATATAACGGCAATATTCGGTATTTTAAAATTTAACAGAATTTTTTAAGGATTTTATTTTTTTAAACTTCCAAATTCGTTGGAGGGTATTCAAAGTTTGGCCCGGCCGAACTTACTGCTTTTTACCTTCCCTACAAAGGGACGAAGTTTTAAATAACCAAAACGATCATAAAATCCGAAATAAGCATCTGGTTCTCTTCAAATTACACATTACAATATTTTTATTTACCCTTGTACCTCTCCCACAAAGGGTCAAAATTTTGAATATCCATGAAGATCATAAAACGCGAAATTAACATCTGATTCCATTCAGAGTTGGTATATCTCAATATGTCCATCAACACAAGATTTGTTATAAAGATGGTACAGGTCGGACCATTTCTTCTGGTTCAATATTTTGAAAAAATAAGCACTCTCTTCAAATTTTTTCACATCCAAATACTTTTGCTAACGCAAGATCTGTTATGAAGATGATATATATCTGTCAACTCCCTTCTGGTACCTAACCCACAAAGAGTCACAATTTCCAATACTTTTATCTGTCATAACTTGCGAAACAAGTCGGCGATTATTTACAACTAGCTATATCAAAATATTTCTCTTAACCAGAAATCTGATATGATTATGGAATTTATCGAAATTTATAATTTTACATACAATTGGATATAAATTGGATTCAAATGTTGCACATATCTGTATTAGATGATGTATGAAAATGGAATACTTCGGTCGGCTATATCCGTTATCTCATGCATATTTCCACATTTTCCAAAAATTTGCATATATCTCATATAAAGTAAAGGAAGAAACGTAAACGTACTATTATACTACAAAAATTACACATTAAGAAACGATTTCATATTTATATGTGTATTCTTCATATTTTATAACGTTGGTTTGTTTACTTTCCAAAAATGCACTTGCAGTTTTGTTAAGTACTGCTATAAACACGTACATGAAGAAGAAATTGATGAATGCGTCGATGAGAATGGAATAACATTTAAAACACCACACGTGCTTAAACCGCTACCACAGCAGATTTAAAGTGGTGACAAATTTGTCCCTTGGGCCTTGTTATCATCACACAACGTTCTGGTGGCAACATTGACCAATAGCACGCACTCTTTAATGTGCGCTCAACTAAAATTCTCACTGTTTCTCTCTCAGTCTGGGCTCTCATCAGTGACATGAGAAAAGAGAGTTTTGGGGGTTCAGTTTGTGAGCAGCCAACCAGCAACCCAAGTCGTTACAATTACAATTTGAATGAACACTGCTGCTGACTGCGGCATGAATGATTGAATAGAATTGCTCTGCCAACAGAGCGCTGCTGCGCTCGACTTCGCTGCCACAGCAAGTCATGGTTCGATTTTAGCCAAATTGTCGATGCTTTGCTTAACTTGCGCTTCAGTTGCTTGTGAAACGTCGGTTGTGTCGGTATTGTTTTCTTTCTGATTCTGTTGTGTTCTGAAAAGAAAAAGAAACTCAAAGTGAAGAAAACACCATTTAAGGCTCTTGTTTATGAGTGAGTGTTTGTCTCTGTGTGAGTGTGTGACCACAGGCCCAGTGTGAACGGTGTGTGAGAGAAAGAAATATACTATATATTGAATGTGGATTGAAAAAAAAAACGGCTCAAAAATAAGAAAAACCTTTAAAAAATAAAACATTTTTTTTTACTTTTAAAAAATATTTTTCAAATTTTGTTAAATGCAATTAAATCAACATCCGTAAAAATAATTAAGAATATATTTTGATGTCCTTTGATTCATTGCTGCTGAATAGGCGACGAATTGCATAATTTCTTCGTTGTCAAAGCTTTTCTATGCTTCTGTGTGTGTGTGTGTTTCTGGAGGGGGCCTTTCTTTACGAATTGTTTTTAATTTATGTTGTAAAGATACTATTTTTAAATGAATTTAATTTTTTATTTATCTGAAAGCACAAAAGTCAAGAAGTCGTGGGACTGTTACAAAGTGTAATAATTAAATAATGTTTTTACAATGTGAGAAAACATTTCTAAATAGGTTCTCCAAAGCAGAGAGCAGGTGTGTGTGTGGCTAGACCCAGTTTAAGGTTCTAACTGGAACAGGGGAAAACATACATTTCAGAAGAATTATCTACTGACAATTTTGCAGTGAAGGGGATTTCAAGGTATTGAAAGGAAGAAAGTTTCTTAGCTATACAAATGGAAATGTAAGGAGATTAACATATAATTGCCTTATTTTAGTGTGGATCGTCTTTCCCAAACTCAAATCAGTAATCAGGCCCAAAAAATTAATTTTTCCTCATTACTTCAATCCAAACTGTTAAAAAACATTAAAAAAAAAACACTCGACTAACTAATGATTCATATTCTGAAAGGTTTTCTATTGCTTAGAATTTCACATTTCAGATATGTAATTTTAATAAGGATAAGTCGTTTTGAGTGTTCCCCATTCGAAAATTTGATACCTATGTAGGTATCAATTTCAATTTCCATTGCTTCCTTCTTAGTATTGGAAATAACGCAGAGTTCCAACTGATTAAAAGATAATGCGTTCCCAGTAAACATTTTGTATAGCCATAGCAAGTAACTATCTGTTTTGGAAACAGATTCAAAATTCAACTGACTACTATCAACTAATATCCAATAGCTGAAAAAATATCCTTTTTCATTTCTTGTTGTGTGACTCAGAATTTAGTCCAATTTTGGTTTGATTCGTTTGAGGACGACAACTTTATTTGACTGCCGCAATGGTAGGGAGCCAAAGTGTTACGCACACACTCACAATACCCCCCCCCCCCCCCCCCCCCTCCCCCCTACACAAACAAGTGAGCGCCGTTACAACAACGACACCATCAACAGAGTATTTTTTTTTTTTAGACGAATGTTATAAATAATCCTTAATGTGAGTTGTGACACAAGGTTCCCTCTCTTTTACGTGGCGTTATTTAACGGTGTGTTTGTGTCTACTCCAAACGTAACGAGTGTGTGTGTGTGTTTGAATTGCTGAAGAAGTGACATAACGACGTTCGTTTTTGCCATGAACCAACCAACCGCACGAAATTGCAGAGAACTCAGAATCCTTGAAAAGCAGCAAAGCAATGGCTGAGATAATACCAAAAATAACGAATGAAGGAACAAACGAAGCAGGACAAAGTTAACAACAAATTTTTGCAAAAAGGATACCAAAATTTGTTTCCTTTGGCAAAGATGAGGCACAAAAGAATCAGGAAACCTTACAACAGTCTTGGTCTTAAAAATACAATGCTTTGTTGTTTTTTTCAACTTGAGACCACAGCCAATACTTGGCCCTTTCGTTTTCAGCCAGTCATAGGTGAAAAGGCCAAATCAATCGATTTTTTTAAACCACTTTCTTATTTTTTATCCATTTATTTCTGTTCTAAAAACAAATCTGGGGTGTTTTGACATTGGCCCGTACTCTTTCAATATGTGATGGCTAGGAGGGGTGCGGGTGTCTGTGAAACCTTTTCGTTTTGAGAAAAGACCAACAAAAAAAAAAAAAAACAAGACAGGAAAAACAAATGACGACGAAAAGCCCATTAAACACAGAAGCAATAAAAGTCACGAGCTGTAGAAGACGATAGTAATTTTGTTGACGTTATCGTCCAGCTATTTACATAGCGTGTCACTAATTGTATTCCTCCAATGGACTTATATAATACAGACATTCTGGTGTATGGTTCTTCAATTTTGACGGTCCAAAGGACTGACCAGTATTTTTTTGAGTCGAAATTTCAATTAGATTTCTCACTACTTGTTATTGTTCTTCTTATCCAACCTAGCAGCAGCGGCAGCAGTGTTAAAGTGTGTAACGGAATAAACTTGAACCCTTAGAAAAATTACACTTGAAAAAAAAACGAAAGGAAAGCAAAAGTAAAAAAAATAACAAAAACAAAAGAAAATAAAATCTGTAAAGACCAAGGAATTTAATATCCTTTTGTGTTTCTGGCTGGAAACCGACAGAGAACAAGAAAACCCAATACCCCCTTTTTAATTCTACGAAATACAAAAATAAATTAAAAGCGGGAGACCACCACTCATCAGTTGAACTTTCGGTGAAGACAAAAAACAAAACAAAAAAACGCAAAAAAGGACAATCCACCAAAGCATAACCTAAATCGAATTTGCACACTAGTGTGTTGTTGTTGCTCTTGCCGTAGTCGTCCTTCTGTCGGTGCTGGTGTGTCGCCACGGTTCTTGGTGTCTGCTCGCCGTACAATGTTTGTTCACAAACGTAGTGTTGCTCGTGGTGACGGAGGTGGCGGCCGTGCATTGCCACTGAATTTGCGAAGCATGTTTGCGCTGTGCGGTCTACTGTTGCTGGTGCCACAATTGGCGTCGTCATCGATACTGTCCAAGTTGAGCGAGGACCCCGATTTGTCACAGGTAAGTGCAGCTCCAGCTAAGGCAATCAAATTAAACGAATACACAAGCGTATAGACGCGTATTTGAATTTAAGAAAATATTTTTATTTCAAATGTAATTGATGGGAACATGAAACACATGTTTGGAAAATACCCACCAGGGGGAGGAAGGAAGGAAGGAAATTATTTACTTGATTGGTCTCAAAGGATAATTCATTTTTCCTTCGTAATAAAAAACCCTGTACCACTCCTCGCTCGATTTATGGCAGCTGATGCCACTAATAATTTACATAATTTCTGTTAAGCATCCAGACAGTCGCTGGATGTTCTTAATTGGGGATTTTTTTAATAATGAGGCAAATAAGAATGAACATTTTCAACAGTTGTTACGCTACAACAACAACGATGGACGTCTAAAGAAAGTTATTGTACGTACTTTTGATTGAGTAGCCAAGAAAACTTATGGGTCTATAGACAAGCCCTTAAAGTTGTTGTTCTCTTTTGAAAAGTTTATATTCAATAATACAAAGCAAGAGGGTTTTCGAGTAGAAATTAAGTTCAAATCCGCTGTAGAAGTCCCAATCCAAAATAATAACTGGTATATATTTATGGCACTCGTGTATACACTAAATTAGGAGGCTTAAGCTTCATAGTCGAATTTAGTGACGTTTCCTGTCCATAATCATCGACATCAAAACGGAAGTCATATTGAACTTTGAGGCATTTAATTCAACTAAATATTGAACTAAAATAGGAGGCTTCTTTATATAAAGACAACGATCTGTACTTATATTTTTGGGGGATAGTTTGATATCAACCCAGTATTTTTTTAAATTACAGATTTAAACTAAGCTCCATAAAAAATGGGTTCATAATTTAAAAGTTAGAGATTATAGTCGATTCGTTAAAAATAAACTAAAAGAGTAGGTTTCCTTATTAGGGAGATCGCAATGTAATATTACAATTATAATTCGAGATTTCAATTTGTTATTCGTAACATTCCATTATAAATTCGAACTATTTAATTTGTATTTGGAATTTTTAATTTTTAACTCGAATTAGTTCGTTTGGAATTCTAATTATTTTTCAATTTGTAATTTCAATTAATCAATTTGAAATTCGAAAAAAATATGGTTTCCATTGGTTTCAAATTAGCTTTTTCGAATTAAAATAAAATTATTCGAATTATTAATGAAATAATACGATTTTCAAAAAAATCGATTAAACAATCTAATTTCAAATGAAATATTTCGAATTTCAAATGGAATTTCACGAATTACAAATAAAATTCTCAAATTACAAAATCGAATTACAAATGGAATTTCCGAAATTTTACGAATTTCAAATAGAAATCCCGAATTACAAATGGAATTTTAAAAATTACAAGTAAAGAGAGTTTCGAATTTCATCTGAACAAGTTAAAAAGTATCAGTCGGTTTTGCCTAGCGTTATGCGTTTTGATACTGTTGACTCTTTATGAGGGAGGTACTAGAAGGCAATCTCAGGTTGAGAGATGTTTATAGAAAAGCAAGATATGAGAGATATAAATTCTGAAAATTGTGACTCTATGTCAGGTAGCTACCAGAAGGGGTAGGTCGATATATCCTATCTTCACACCAGTAGTAAATATATTCGAATGCGTGAAAATTAAAGAGAATCGAATGCTTTTTTCGCTTTTAGGTGCGTTTTGTTCTTTAAGATGTTGACACCTTTGTAAGGAGGTACCAGAATGAATAAGTCGATATCTACCATTTTCACAACAAAACTTCAGTTGATAGAAGTATTGGAATGTGTGCTTATTTCGCATTTTATGAGAGATGGAATTATTCAAAATTTTGAACCGTTGTTTGGGAGGTATCGGAAGGAGTGAACCGATGTATACCATCTTCGTACCAGATTTTGCGTTAGCGAAAATATTGGGATGTGTGAAATATGAAGACAATCGGATGCTTATTTCACATTTTATGAGAGATATACTTATTCAAAAATTTGACCCTTTATGTGGGATGTAGCAGAAGGGGTGGTCCTATATATGCAATCTTCACAACAGATATTGTTGTAGTAAAAAATATTGGAATATGCAAAATGTATATATATAATAATCAGATCGTGTGCTAACAAAAATATTGCGATGTGTGAAATTTGAAGGCATCTGGATTCTTATTTCACATTTTATAAGACTTATAATAAATCCAAATTTTGACCCTTTGTGGGGGAGGTACTTGTTGGAGCAGGCCGATATTTTTCATTTTTGCACCTGACCTAGTACCGACGAATATTGTGATTTGCAAAGTTTCTACAAAATCGAAGGAGTGGACCGATATTAGCCATCTCCGAACTCGATTTATGTTTATCAATAATATTACGATAAATCGGATACTCCCTTGGAGAGTTATCTTGCCAGCCAGATAGACAGACCGACGAAAATCGCTAGGTCAACTCCAAATGTCCTGAAATGGATTTGGTCCAAAGAGGCCTGGGGTCTAAAACCGTTATTTCGACTTCACCTACCTACTTTACGTCATAAAAATGTTTGACATTCATTGAAGAACAGGGATACTTACAATAAGTTCTTGTCGGGCAAGTTTTGACAAAATGGTACATCGGTTTTTGTATTTTAAAAATTTCAAGAACCTTCAAATTAGTCCAATTAACCAACAAGACTGACAAATCATTTTCATCTCTCCTATAAAACAAAGTATTAGATTCTAGATAATTTTAATTCTGCAGATTCAAATCTGAGATTGTTGATAATTTTCGAAACAAACAACTCATCGCCATCGAAAAAGCAGCTGGGTATCACAAATGACAATAAGAACAAAGAATACATGATTTCCAACAACACTTTTCAAAATAGGTTTTTAACATCTTCCCACAACGTCTGTTTTTGATGACGGTTGCTAAAATGGCAAATCAGTCGAATGTGTTGTTTTAGCCCAAGCAGCAAATTTTTTGGTTTCAAGTGCTGCCACAGATTCCAGGGTGTGCAAAAACTACCACCAGACAGTCAACCAACCTGTCACAGAGCCCTCAAGCTGAGTCTTTGTCATTGGCGATCTGGTTTTTTTTTTTGGTCTGCTTTTCAAGAAAATGAACTATTTCCCAATCTTCACAATGGACAGACCCGAATCGATGGACAGCAGATAGCAAAACGACAGAATATGAATAGAAGAATACAAAACTGACTTTTTGTTAGATGCGAGACTTAAAAGTATTGGGTTACCAAGACCATTATGGCTGTCTCTTTGGGGCCGTTGTTACTGTTGTTGTTTAGACCATTGTCGGATCTAAGAATAGCTACAAATATGAATTGAATAGAAAAAGCAATGCAATGAAACGAAATATGCGATACACTACTTCTATACAATAGACCGACCGACAACGACATGTTATGCCATCCACTATGCACTGGAAATTATTTCGAAATTCCACCTGAATTCAAAAAGAAAGAAAAAAAAAGAATACTTGCCAGCAGAATATAATCTTTCATGTTAATAGAGAGATTTTATTGTTTTATGTCATCGGCTTCGGCTAGTTTTCTTTCCTTCATTCTTCGGCAAGAACTTCTGTTAACGAAATCGAAACCTTTTAACTAAAAACCCATTCCCCCAATGCGGCAGACCATTCGTGTAGCGCATTCTAGCGGAACCGTAAACAGATAAGGTGGAAAATTATGGCCAAATACCAAGTGACCATATGCCGTAGCCATATAACAGTAGTTGAGGGAGGAAAAAAAAGGTACGAACACCTGAAATTGATATTTATAAAATCGACTGTTTTTTTTTTCTGTTCATATGACGAGGGAGGGGAAAGGAAGGATATGCGAGTGAAATGAAATGTTTTTGAAAAACAAAAACAAAGGAGAACCTTTTTTTGGGTTAATCTACCACCCACTCACCACCACCGTTGCCAGGACTTTCATACATATGTGATATGGTGGTAATTGTGTTGGTCATTATGTAATTAAAAGTTAAAAAAGTCCATTAAAAATATATCATTATCATGGATTCACCACATAATGCTGAAAATAGAAAACAAACGCCGAGATAAGATTTCAAATGCATTTTCCAGGAAGAGAGGTTTGTTCTTAGGGGTGATTTTTATAAAAAAAATAACAAAAAAAGCCTAAATTTAAACCAACCCAAGGTTGACATTTGTAAATGATATAAAAAATAAAAAATAGGCTTTCCAACATTAAAACTTAAATAGGTTAAAAACATAAACGAAGTTACACTGTATTTCTTCAAGTCAAGATAAACCTAATGACAATTAATGGGATCTCTTGCAAAATCAGTGTATCAGATTCTGCTCCCACTCTAAATTTTCAAAAAAGAGTAACTCAGGGGCTCTTCGACACAAAATATAAGAGTAAGGAGTAAACTTCTTATAAAACTCCCAATCTTGAAGTAATCCCGCTCGCGAACAAGTTTCACTTCCGAGCGAAAACTAGCAAATCTGTTCTGCTTGCTTCAATACTTTATTTTTTCTTGTGGAAGCAGTGCTCCGATTTTGTCAATTCTAGCATCTGGCTTAAGCCTAATACATATATTAGAACGTGAGAGGTTTCGACGAAATCAGACACACCTTTGTCTGAACTCTGTCTGTATGTGTGGTGCACACGATTAGGTTATTTGTGTCAAGTTTATAGATGGGTGAATGGGTAGTTCACCAATCCTCCCACAAATGTTTGTATCAATTTGACAATGCTAAATTTTACACAGTTTTATACCGTCCACCATACATAGTACTACCACCCTCCGTAAGTTCGTCAGTCCATTTGTAACTCATCGAAATAATAATTTTAAACCCAATGATTCTTGATAAGCGTGAAATTCTAAGACGATCTAGCCCTGTCTGTCCGCCCGTCTGTTATAATCACGCTAGAGTCAAAACAAATAAAGATTGGAAGCTAAAATTGTCTTTTGTCTGTAGGCATGTCAAGTTCGAAGATGGGCTATATCGGTCCACGATATAGTATATTCCCCATATAACTCGACCTCCCAACATTCGGTATTTTGATGA